TAATGTAGCTTGCGCTCACTGTTGTACACTGGAAGCAGTTCCAGGGAAATGACGTATGGAGGTCAGCTTTGCGCATGCGCCGCTCAGAAGTGTTGAACGCGGAAGCACAGGGGATAGATCAAAACAAAACAACGTCACGAATTAGTAGTACAAAACGAGGATTTGTAAAGAAGAATGTCGGAGGATTTCGATATAAGCCAAGAGGGGACTGGTTTTTCTTTGCTAAAGTACGGAAACTTTGCTTCCTTTGCTCCTGTTAACAAACGTTGGTTTTCACGAGACTCACCGGCGCATGCGCAACGCTGAACTCATACGTCATCCGCCCAGAACTGCTTCCAGTGTACAACAGTGAGCGCAAGCTAGATTAAAGTGATCATTACGTTTCGAATATGGATATTTTTCTTACAAAAACGCATCGATTCGCTACAGGAGGCCTTTGTTCACCCCCCAGAGCCGTGTGAGACACTTTTTTTAATGGATGGGTGCTTTTTATTTCACTCCTTTTGTACTGAAGCAATGCAACACCCGCTGACTGGCATTAAACAGCTTGAAAGATCAAAGACAATTTTTAATATGGATTCGTCTGAAAGAAGAAAGTCATATACACCTAGGATGCATTGAGGGTGACTAATTTATGAGCTAATTTTCATTTTTGGGTGAACTAAACCTTTAAGCCTTGTCTGTGAAACCAAGGGTAAATGTTTTTGATAGCTACTATCTTATTAGAAGTTAAACTGATATTGTTTTTAGTTCAGATTATTTTAAGCATATCTCTATAGCATCCCAAAAACAGCTATTTATTTATTTAGGGACATATTCATAAGACATAGTAATGAATATTCTCGAGGAAATTAGTGAATGCAGCACTTAATGTTCATAGATTTTTCTATAATAAAGTGAATTTTTTTTTATATGGAATTATTGATTTATGACGGGATGTTTTGTACACGCAAGAATTTTTGCAAATATCTGATCTGAACAAGTAACGCACGTGAGGGTAGAGTACTGAATCCCCCCTATGAATACAATGGTCTCGCCCGTTGCTCTCTGGCCTGTCACGTGGTGCGGATGTCCTTCGCTCTTCTGTCTCTACAGGCTCAAGATGGCTGCGCTCTTAAGATCATCCCGGCTCCTCAAATGCTCACCGGCTTCATTGCTTCAGGTCACAGGAAACACCAGACATGCACCGGCAGCTGGTCGTCTTTACAGCGGAGCGGTCGGGACTCCACATGTAGGGCTTTGTGTCCGCCACACAGTCCCGAGACGGTTAAATGTAAACAGGTATAACGCAGCATGACTCTGCCATGCGTGTGTAGATCATGCAGTTGTCATTGAGAGGTGATCGCTCCTATAACAGTACTGAGCGGTTATAACACGTTGATCACGTGCTGTATGCAGGTTATTTAACCACATATATAGCTAAATATAATTTGTTCTTATATAATGGCGTTATATGAGAGAGATGTGGCTTTGTTGTATTAGCTGTGCGACCCATGAACATCACTGCAGAATATGTGAATGTAACAAACCATTACACTTTTCTTTCAGCTTCTTTGTAATGCTTATAAAAAAAATGTTAGTCATTATTTTTCAATCAGCCTTTTTTGGAAACAATGTAGTAGTATTAAAGCCTTAATCTAAATACATAACCATTAATCCAACTAAAAAGCCTATGATGATAATAAATATGTCTATAAAATACAGTAGAGTTTTGTTGTGTATAGTTGTTTTAGGCTATACTAGTCTTTCTGTAAACTGTGTGCTAACATGTGCCAAAAGTCAAAGGTCAACATGCCAAGGTCGTTTTGAGCAGTCTCAGAATACTGCACATCGTATTGGCCAACATTTTAGTCATTTTAGTTTCTTGAATTTTGGTTATTCAATTTTTTCCATATGTTCTTCATATTCTATGTGGTGATTAGTTCACAGCAGTGACAGAAATTTTATTTTTCAATAAGTGCTGATTCTTTCCCCCCTAAATTAATTTCCTGGGGCATTCTTACAATTTTAGGGCTTTTTAAAACTGAAATGTGTCATAATTTCAAATTCTAGTATTTAATCAATACATTTTATAATAGAACACTATATGACTGTCTGTTACCAGTCAAATGAAACATTATCAACAAAATCCATCTTTGCACTGCAGAGGTAGCGCAGAAGCTGCATTTGCAGTGCCATTTAGGTAAATCCAAAGAGACTATTTAATGCAGCTCAGAGGTAACAAATGTATTCACACTGTAATAACTATTGCATAAATAATTCTATGAGACCGTTTAAAAATGACATTTTGAATATTGAAAAAGGAAACTTTTAAATATAAAACTAAAACCACGACTTGGCAGCAAGTCCTTGTCTTAATGAGTCATTTAATCGTTCATTCAAATTATTCGTTTAAAATGATTGATTGATTCAGTAACAAAGCAAGTGAGTGTCTTTATGAAGTGACTCTCTGTATGATGCTCAATGGTTCTGCTGTGGCTTTGTTTGGAATGATTTTTTTTTTGTATTTTAACTGCATTCTAATAGGCTACATGCCACTGAGAATGTATGGACTGTGTGCTTTTTTTTTGGCTTTTGCAAAGTGAGTGACACAATCGATAATGTCATCTTGCACATTATTAAAACAATTGTGATATTATCTTAGCTGACACTTATCCAATTAACCCCTACTTGTACATGAAACGTGGACACAATTTTATCCGTTTGTCTCAAGGAGGCCTATTAATTGCATGATTGGTTTTGTAGTGAGCACCATTATTTCTTGTAGTGCCAATGATGTGGACTGGTTTGTATACACTTTTGTTTTGCAGTTTGTCCTCATACACATCGGCCCTGCCCTGTGTTAGCTGTCGTCAGTATGGTGTTGTCCCAGAGCAGAGGGGGTTGGTGAAGGATGAGCCCAGTGTGGCGGTCCGCTCCAAGCAGGCTCAGCAGTTTGACTGGGCTCTGGCCAAACTAGACAGCTCAGTCCGAAGGACAGGCAGGGTCACCAAAACACTGCTGCTGCGTATCTTCCATGATATTTGCAGAACAGGTACTTGTCTGTTTGTTTAAGGATCTTTTCTGGATCCATTTCCATAAATAAATCTCATGCATGTCATCTTAATTCTGAAATCACTTCCAATAGGATATCCAAGTGGAAATCAAGCCCTGTTGATGCTGAGAAGCTGTGGCTCTCTGCTTCCTGAGGTTCCCCTAGTTGAGCGCATAGAGCTGTCACAACGGATCTGGGATAAGCTTCAAGAACTTGGTATGCATAGAGACCATTGAACAGTTACTTTTTGTACTTCTAAATCTGGTTTTAACTTGTATATTGCTGTTCGCTGCAGGCGCCACCTATGATGTGAGCCATTATAATGCCCTGCTTAAGACGTACTTGCAGAATGAGTTCAGATTCTCTCCAACCGACTTCCTTGCTAAAATGGAAGCTGCTAATGTTCAGCCAAACAGGGTGAGTATAATTAAAAATTAAATAGTGTTAAATCCACATTTATTTTAGGTAACAAGAAATGTTGGGAGGGGAATATATATATATATATATATATATATATATATATATATATATTAGTGCTGTCAATCGATTAAAAAATAACTAATTAATCAGTTAAGTTTTTAAATATACTTTTATATTGCAATAATTTCACATTCAATTTTAAAATTAATGTATAAACAACAAAGACAGTATATTTGTAATATTTGTTTAGTGGCATCTTTTTTATGACTGAAGGCGAGTATCACTGATGTCTCCTTGAAATTGTTTTCCCCCCTAATATTTAACCATTGACTAAAGCCATTCAACATTACAGTATAATTGAAATCAATTTGAACAACTTTTAATTTAAGTGAACTTAAAAATCTTCACATAAACCCATTATAATAAATTTCATATTTACCTGTGCGCTTCAGCAAGTATGAAATATACAGAAATTGAATAAAGCTATCAAACACTAAATTCTAAATTAAATATAAATTAATTCTTAACGTTTCTTTTCTTTTGTCCTTTGATTAACAGACTTCACAGCAGCTGGTTATTAGCTTATTTTGTCTGCTTTAAGAGCTGCCGCTGCTGAACATGACGCAGATCTGACACGCATATTTTCTCACAACTCTTTACCTTTTCTGACCCACCTCAAGTTTTAAATCTCTACTAATGAGCTTACGAGTTGGATCGGGTGTCATAGTTTCTTTTGCGCTTTAATATGAAATGATACACAGCGCGTGCCGCCGCATTTGTGTACAATTGAAGAGCACGTGCTACGAGCACAGTATAACGGCTGACAGGACAGTAGAATTGGTTTTTACTGACATATGGCCTGACAACATCTCATCTGACCACAGTTCACTGTTGTTCTACTGAAGCTCCCTCGTCACCTGTACCTTTTCCGTGTTCGTTTGACTAGCACCTGGCGCTGAGGTGAAGTTGGAGTGCGTGCCTAAAGTGTCTCCTGTTTGATGTGGTTCTAAAGTCATTTAAATAAACGCAGTTCTTGTCAAGAAAAAAAGACCGAAGCAGCAGTTGTGAGTGGGGTGGCCAACCCTAGCTCCCCCCCTGCGTTAATTATGTTAAATATTTTGAACACGTTAAACTGAAAAAATTATTTGCATGTGCTAATGCGTTAATTTTGACAGCACTAATATATATATATATATATATATATATATATATATATATGAATGAACATTGCAGCACGAAATTAAAGTTATGTTGCTACTTGTTACATTACCGTTTCAAGGACAGAAAAAAATGCTGAAATTAAATGAAAAATTCACTACAAAAAAATCTATTAACGACTTTAGACTGTGAGAGTTACCAATATGCAACAAACAATGGTGCTATATAGATGTATTGTCTTATCACTGATGATAGCTAGAAAATTTAATTGGATACAATGTTTATACACATTTATAATATATTGTGACTGTCCAGGTGACCTATCAGAGACTTATTGCAGCCTACTGTGAAGTTGGCGACATTGAAGGTGCAAGGTGAGTTGTGATTTTTGCTGAAGTCACATTTTCTTCAAATTAGTTTACCCTTATGGTGTGGGTTATGTAAAAAAAAAAGTTTTGCTTGGCTGTCACAAGAAGAAAGTAACAATGCTTATAAAACAACTTCTTGCAGTACAATCCTGGGCTTTATGAAGAGCAAAGACCTGCCCATCACAGAAGCTGTGTTCAACTCCCTAATGACAGGCCATGCCCGCGCAAGGTCAGTGGACAGTGCTGTTGATTTGGTGCTTCTTCTGTGTGATTGGTACCTATGTGTTTAGTGACTTGTGTTTGTGCAGGGATATGGACAGTGCTGAAGGCATCCTATCAGTCATGAAAGGTGCAGGGATTGAGCCGGGCCCAGACACATACCTATCTCTCCTCAACGTGTATGCTGAGAAAGGCGATTTTGACAAAATTAAACAGGTCTGAGATTATGGGGGATGAAATGGACTGATTAACAGAATGCTGTGTATAAAGTGGGGAAAGTATTTATTTGATCCCCTGCTGATTTTGTAAGTTTGCCCACTTACAAAAAAATGAAGGGTCTGTGATTTTTATGGTAGGTTCATTTTAATGTATAGAGACCGAAAACCAACCAAAAACACATTATGTAAAGGTTAGAAATTCATTTGCATTTCAGTGAGTGAAATAAGAATTTGATCCCCAAGCAAAACATGACTTAGTACTTGGTGCAGAAACCCTTGTTGGCAAGCACATAGGTAAGACGTTTTTTGTAGTTGGTCACCAGGTTTGCACACATCTCAGGATGGATTTTGATTAACTCCTCTTTACAGATTCTCTCTAAATCCTTAAGGTTTCTTGGCTGTCATTTGGCAACTCGAAGTTTCAGCTCCCTCCACAGATTTTTTTGTAGGATTGAGGTCTGGAGACTGGCTAGGCCACTCCATGACCTTAATGTGCTTCTTTTTGAGCCACTCCTTTGTTGCCTTGGCGGTATGTTTCGGGTCACTGTCATGCTGGAAGACCCATCAATGACCCATCTGCTAGGGCTGTCAAAATGACTGAAAAACTAAATTCGAATTTTCTACTTAAATATTATCATCATCATTAGCATCGAGTAAAATATTATGCACGTTTCTTCAAAGCGTAATAAAACAACACGACTATCTTTAAAAAAAAAGTGCATAATGTTTATAAACATTATTTTAAACATTATGCACTTTGTTTTAATAAACATTATAAACCATATATAATTAATAAAGTTGCTTAAACAATTAGAACAAAAACAGCACCATGCATGTATGTATAGTTTAATACAAAGGACCGAAAACCAATCACAAAGAGTAGACTCCTTTCTTCATTTAAAAACATGAGATACAGTTGGATGGGGAAAACCGCCATAACGTCTTTAGACATGTTTTTTTTTTAAAACTTGCATTAATTTTACATGGCTTTCTAAACATGCCGCTCTCTGCGAGACGCGGGTTCAATGCTGATAGATGTTCCTCTAGAAAATGTGATAAATATGAGTTCTGTGTGAACTGCTTGGTTTCAGTTTTGACGTAAACAACGTCTTCTCCACACTGATGCTCTCGTTTTCCGCAATATATGAATAAACAACGTAGCAGCTTCGCATCTAGTGGGTTCAACTGGATAGGCTAACAAAAGCATTCAAATGCAATCAATGACACATACATCGTCATCGCATCTCGTGCTCCACTGATAAGGCTGCCTGACGGCTGACGCAGACCTTAAATTCGAATGCAACGTTATTCGAAATTAGAATTTATATTTGACAGCCCTACCATCTTCAGTGTTCTGGCTGAGGGAAGGAGGTTCTCGTTCAGGATTTTACAGTACATGGCCTGTCCATTTGCCTCTCAATGCGGTGAAGTCCTCCTGTACCCTTAGCAGAAAAACAGCCGTAAAGCATAATGTTTCCACCTCCGTGCTTGACTGTAGGGAAGGTGTTCTTGGGGTCATAGTCAGCATTTCTCTCCCTCCAAACACGGCGAGTCGAGTTAATGCCAAAGAGCTCAATTTTGGTCTCATCTGACCACAGCACTTTCTCCCATGTCTTCTCTGAATCATTTAGATGTTCATTGGCTAAATTTAAACGGGTCTGTACGTGTGCTTTCTTGAGCAGGAGGACCTCGCAGGCGCTGCAGGATTTCAGTCCATTGTGGTGTGGTGTGTTTTGCTTGGTGACTGTGGCCCCAACTGCCTTAAGATCATTAACAAGCTCCTCCTATGTAGTTCGAGGCTGATCCCTCACCGTGATCCCTGCACGGAGCTCCAGACCGAGGCCGATTGATGGTTATTTTGTATTTCTTCCATTTCCGAATAATCACACCGACAGTTGTCTCCTCCTCACCAAGCTTCTTGCTGATGGTCTTGTAGCCCATTCAAGCCTTGTGCAGATCTACAATCTTGTCTCTGACATCCTTTGACAGCTCTTTGGTCTTGCCCATGGTGGTGGGAGAGGTTGGAATGGAAGATACAGATTGTGTGGACGGGTGTCTTATACACCTAACGAGCTGACATTAGGAGTAACTTCTTAAAGTGGCAGGACTAATCTGTGTTCCACATTGGCACATAAACCAATCTGTGGGAGCCAGAATTCTTGCTGGTTGGTAGGGGATCAAATACTTATTTCACTCACTGAAATGCAAATCAATCTCTAATCTTTATATAATGTGTTTTTTTTTCTGGATTTTTTGGTTGGTATTCTGTCTCTATCCATTAAAATAAACCTACCATAAAAATTACAGACCCTTAATTTCTTTGTAAGTGGGTAAACTTACAAAATCAGCAGGGGATCAAATAAATATTTTCCCCACTGTAATGTACATTTTTCTAAGACTGCATTGATTTGATTAAATATAAAAGTAAAACTGATTTTATTAAAATGAAAGCAGTAAAAACTGTAAAATTGTGAAATGTTGTTAGCGTTTAAAATATGATAATTTGAATGTAATTCCTGTCATGGGCATGGCAAAGCTGAATTTTCAGCAGGCATTATTCCAGTCTTCAGTGTCACATGATCCTTCAGAAATCATTCTAATATACTGATTTGGTGCTCAAGATTTCTTATCAACAACGTTGAAAACCGTTGTTCTGCATAATATTTTTGTGGAAACTGTGATCAATTTTTTATGACTCTTTGATGAATAGAAAGTTCAAAAACAGCATTTATTTGAACTGGAAATCTTGTGTAACATTATAAATGTCTTTAATGCCACTTTTGATTAATCTAATGCATCCTTGCTTGAATAAAAGTATAAATTTTTAACAGTTGTGTGTACATTTCAAATTGTATTTTTATTTTTAAGAACCATAACATAATCAAGAGCTTAAATACAGAAATTGATTTTCTTGTTATTTGTATTTGTTTTTAGCCAATAATATAGCACTTTCGTATCTTATATTTTGTCTCCTCTAGACTCTAGAGACGGTGGAGAATGCAGATATCCATCTGATGGACAGAGATTTGATGCAGGTTGTTTTTAGTCTGACTAAGGCTGGCCATCAGCAGTATGTGCCTGAGATTGTGGAGCACATGCATCACGAGAGGGGATATGTGCCAGGTGTGTCTGCTGACAGCAGTGTCATGTCATGGAAGAGGAAGGAATATGGAACCATTAGCTTCGAATTTTGCCCTAATCACTTACCATAGTGGTCCGTAGTGAGCCATAATGGTCCCGTGTATTCGTAGAAGTATTCTATTTTAAGTGTTTTAAATATGAACCCAGGCCAATTAGAGAAATGGTATACATACAGTATTGATGCAGTGAGAAGGAATGGGATTTTGGGAAAGCTATGTTTTTTATTTTGATACTTAGACTGACCCATCCTTTTGTTTTTATTTCCTCAGATGCTATGAACCTCTGCTTGAGTCTGATTACCCACGGACATGAAGAGACTGCGTTTTCTGTGCTGAAGAACTTCACCGGCCTGCTGGTACAGTCGCAGACCAGTGACTCCCCAGACTTGGGAAACTTCTTTCTTCGCCACTGCGTCAATATGGACAAGGTAAACATTTTTACAAGTGCATATTAAGTGTGCCTGTATGTTGATTTTTTGGCTTAATGTTATTAGTGCTATGTTAAATTGGGTGTTTGTGTGCTTGCAGTCTGTGGAGAACATAGTTGGGTTTTGCAAAGATCTAAAAGATTCAGGTCTGCACTCATCGCCACTGCAGTTCACCCTTCAGTGCGCCCTGGAAGCTAAAAAGACCGGTGAGTACAATGATGATTTAAAGTTCAAAAACAATACTTAATCCTCAGTTAGTGTCTTTTCAAATCCCAGGCTTTTAATTCAAGCTTAGTCTGTTCAAGCTTGTTTGTCTACTTTTGAATCTTTTGTTTTCAAATACTTTATTGATGTGATAATAGCCATTGATGCTGTTATAACAATATTCAAAGATATTAACCTAATAAGAAAGATAACACAGGGTTTTGACATTTTGAAATATTATAACTTATAATAATCCTGTGTTAAAAATTTCTGGCCTGGTTTTCATATGTCTTTCTCTTCATTTTTAGTTTGATTGCACAGCTCAATTTGTGAAATATGCTTCATCATTTTAAGGTATGGCTGTTGAGCTCATGAGAAGGATGAAGGAGGAGGGCTTGCCTCTCAGACCTCATTACTTCTGGCCCCTGTTTATTCATTACCAGAAAGAGAAGAACAGTTCTGGTGAGTCCTGAGCTTCCAGACTCATTCTTAAACACTCTTCTGCACTTTTAGTTCCATAATCTGATGAATTTCTTACTGATATTCAACAAGGAGAAATTGTCCAGGATTTGGTATTATCCAGCTGGAATGAATTGGAATGTGAAAAGTTAGAGTAGGCTATATATTAATTTAGCTGTGGAATAGGACAAATTGACTATTTGACACCTTAATAAAAATTAAAAAAAAGTCAATCATCAATTTTTCATTGAATATTAAATTTTTCCTCCGTAGTTCTGTTTATCTGTTCCAGACTTACAAATAAATGTTCTAACAAAAGAGCATGTCCAGATAAATCCTGCAGAAACTGAAACAGCGAGTATAAAAATCATTTTCTTTTTTTTTTAAACCAATAACCTTCATGAAACATGCAGGATTGCTCTCACCTTTCTGTTCCTGTACAGTTTTTTTTGTTTGCTCAGTGTTGAAGTCTGCACTACGTGAAGGTTACATGACAGAATTAGTAGTGACTGGGTCTCATGTAAATGCGAGCGCTCTGAGGGAATTCACTTTCAATTACGTGCGCCGCTGTGCACGGCCATGAAATATTTAGCGCCATGTCACATTCTGGCCACAGGTGTCACCAGCGGGCAGACGCCCATCCCCCTTTCCACCCACCGGTTTTCCGTCCACCCGTTCACGAGTGTGGAGAGGGGGAAAAGTTTGCATTTTGATGAGGTGTGGATTTGGGCAGGCGAGTTTGAAAAGGCATATGCTAGCTTTGTCTCGGCAGCCGCGAGCAAGCGGTGCTTGTCAGATTCAAGAAGCAATTGCAATCATTGCTTGTGACATGGTGCGAGAAGAATGCCTTAGTCCCTCACATAGCACACAACAGGCTTTCAAATCTGCATCTTAAACACTCTTTGCACTACTCACATTTTGAAAAATCTCTTTTTGACTCTTTGTTATGCACTTGCGTTGGATGCTGGGCTCTTTTAAATCCACTTTATGGCTTGCATCAACTTTAATATCCATCTGAGGGGAAGCATCTCAAGGGCTAGAGGTGGGAAGTGATCTTGCTGTTTAGTTCCTCTATTACATCATATCTTTTTTCTGGAGCTTACTTGAACTTGAACTGACACATTTTTCTTTATGGATTACATAAAACAGGAAGACTCAATCTGCAATGGCTTCGCCATGTTTTTGCACATTCTGTTGTCAGATAATGTATAGTAACACTATAGTTTTGTTTCAAAACCTAATAAGTGTCCTGTTTGTCTTTTGACCATATAGGCATCTGATTCTTGAGCATCCAAGTGAATATAAACCTCATAAGCAGACTCATGTGGAGTTGGTTGACTTAGCCTTTTTTTAGTCTTTATTTTCTGTCTCTTATAGTTTACTATTCTTATAGTCTCTTATATTCAACAATGCTGCATTTATTTGATCTTCATTTGATCAAATACAGTTAAATCTGAAATATTGTGAAATTTTTACAATTTCAAATAAATGTTTTCTATTTTAATATATTTTAAAATATAATTTAAATAGAAACCTTAAACATCATAAATGTCTTCATTGTGATCTTTGATCAATTTAATGCACCCTTGCTGAATTTCTTGCTGGAAAAAAGAAAGAAAAAAAATCTTACTGACCCAAACATTTTGAACATTTATGTACATGTGCTTTCCTGTTTCAACAGACCCAAGCAAACTCCAGGTCTTGCGTGTAGCAAGATATACTTTTGGCTTTTTAAAATCCATTTTATTTTAAAATTGGCCTTGTTTGGAGATACACAGGGATTAAAGTTCCGTCGGATTTCCATCAGTTCATAAAGACAGTCACTTTCTTCATTCCGGAATGTTTCAGTCGTTCGAACAAATCAATTGAATGAATGATTCAGTGATAAAATCAGTGGATTTATTTTCATTTTTAGCATATAACATTTTGAATACAGAAATATGATTTAAACAACTGAAATTATATTTAAAACGTTAATCTCCACATTAATTTATTAATTTAATTGCGCTCATGCTACCTCTGAGCCTCATTAAACGTCTGAAAATGTGTCTTCAAGCCACTTTTGTGTTTTTCTGTGCCTTATTGAATTGTTGTAAATAAATATCACATTTGCAACTGGTCAGGGCTCAAAAAATGCGGGGAAATCACTTCATGTAGCCCTACAAGTGTGTACTGATAAACTGTCTGAAAAAAAGAAAGTCACGTTTTAGAGAAGAAAAAAATCCCCCACTGACTTTCAAAGCTGCTACATAGAAACGACTTTCTACTTTGAGGACCTTCATAGAAATGTAGTGGAGTGAAAAGTACAATATTTGTCTTTCAAATGTAGTGAAGTTAAAGTCATAAGTTCCCAGAAAAAATTATACTCAAGTAAAGTACAGATACTCAAAAAGTGTACTTAAGTACAATACTCAAGTAAATGTACTTAGTTACTGTCCGCCTCCTGCCACCTCTGTAGTACAAATTAATTTATTAATACTAATTTCATATGATTGGTAACTTATTTGTCTTATTCTACTTCTTATTATATTGCAGGAGTTAAAGCAAAAAAAAAATATTTTGACTGAAAATTTTTCTTCGACAGAAACCCATTCCTCAGCCATACCTGTCTCACACCAAGTTTTTTTCTTCTTGTAATTAGGAGCGCTTGTCCTCCTAATTTAAAAATTTAGGAGCACCTTCTGATCAATAATCAAAAATTCTGATAAAAAATTTGCCTTCCTTATACAAGGTGACATTTGTCTCCTTAAAGTGACTTGCAGGAGTATTTTCTTTTTACCTTTATAATAGTAAAAATATGATCCATGTCAAATTCAAAAATGTATGTTTATAATCTTTTTAAAATGTCTATTTAAGACAAATAAGTTACCAATCACATGAAATTAGTATTAATAAATGAATGTGTACTACAGAGGTGGAACAGAAGAACACAAAAATGGCTTGGAAGTTCATTTTCAGACATTTAATGAGGCTCAGAGGTGGCATGAGTGCAATTAAATTCATAAATTCATGTGGAGATTAATGTTTTAAATATAACATTTTGAATACAGAAATATGATTCAAATAACTGAAATTATACGCTAAAAATTTTACTAAATCCGCCAGCAAGTGGTGGCAATTCACTGATTTTATTACTGAATCATTCCTTCAATTGATTCGTTCGAACGGCTGAATCATTCAGGAATGAAGCAAGTGACTGTCTTTATGAACTGACGGAAGTCCGTCGTAGCAACGGAACTTTAATCCCTGGATACAGCTACTGTTGACAGTTTGTACTCTGACCTCTCCCCTTTCGTGCCCCTCTACTAGTAAGAGAGTCCACAGTCTTGATTACTTCCCGCACTTACAGTTCAATCGTCAAACCCAGTGATGTAGCAAACAGAAACTTGGGGGTCACCCGAGAATTCATTGAACCAGATTTGTTCCATAAAAGCCCTCTCTCACACTTTCTGAATTGAGACATCTTGAATCGGCAGGTAATGTGACTGGATATCCATTTTCTATCCCCATTCACATACTACCTTTCGGCCAGTGCTGTCTGAGCCAACTTTTATGGCTGACAAATGGATCAATGGATTATTTAACAGCAAAACGGGTGTGCTGCTCTCATAAAAATGAAAGAATGAATAGACAGACAGCTCTCAGGCTCCATTGAGAAGAGAGTGTCTGGACGTTGTTTACGTTTGCTTGAAAGCAAAGAGCTACTGAATTGCAAGAAAGGATGAATGGTGAAAAATGCTCAGATGAGAATGAAATGGAGAGATGGGATGGATGGATGGAGCCTCCAGGTGCTTTACCTGACTAATGCTCTCTTGCCAGCCGCTCCTGGTGCCAGATGCAGGTTTTATTGGCAGATAAAAGTAGCTCTTATCTTTTATTTAGGTATGTAGGTGTCCCCTGAGCTTTGCGATACAGAGTGCTAAGGACCAAGGTGAAGAGTAAACAGAACACAAATCGCTGGTTCACGTGTTCCCACACACACACACACACAAACATTTGCCCGAGCAGGTCGAGAGACTGTTCCATATGCATGCAGTGCTTTAGGCAGGAGTGAAGGGCCCTGCTGGAGAGCCGGGTACAGGCCTGAATCCTCTGCCTGAAGGAGGTGTTCCTCCAGGCCATGCCACTGGAAGACTGGTGTGATAATTTTAATTATCGGAGTATTTTATTTCATTTGTTTATTAATGCTTTCAATTTAAGACCTGGTTCAGTGAATTGTAAACAGCCTTGGGCTTTAAATCATGTTGCTGGTTTAAAAAAAAAAAATCCCATAACCAGTGTAGCATTAGTGAAGTGACATGTGGCCAAGTATGGTTACCCATACTAGGAATTAGTGCTCTGCATTTAACCCATCCTAAGTGCACACACACACAGCAGTGAACACACACAAACCGTGAACACACACCCGGAGCAGTGGGCAGCCATTTATGCTGCGGCGCCCGGGGAGCAGTTGGGGGTTCGGTGCTTTGCTCAAGGGCACCTCAGTCGTGGTATTGAAGGTGGGAGAGAGCGCTGGTTATTCACTCCCCCCACCTACAATCCCTGCTGGTACGAGACTCGAACCCGCAACCTTTAGGTTACGAGTCCGACTCTCTAACCATTAGGCCACAACTTCTTATTATTACTTTTTTAACCAGAAATCATGGTTCAAATATTAAACGCTGAGTCATTGCTTGAATTGGATGGACTGAATGAACAGGCCTGATGATGGGATGTGATGAGCCTGAGAAGGATGAATTGCATGAATTCAAGGGAAAATTGCTGAATTTGCTGAAGCGTTCATGAAACCGTTGTCAGCAAAAGAGACGCTTTAAGTTTTCCTTGCTCCTTTTATTTTTATATTGATTTAATTTTTAAAATGTAAATAATAAAATATTTTGATTACACTACTACTACTAATTATTGTTATTATTATAAATGTGGTGGTATTATTATTATTATTATTATTATATAGCCATAATGAATGGGGTAAAAAGCAGGCTTTCTCTTTTTGTTCTTGACTTATCACAGGCAATATTTGTCCTATTTGTCACTTAAGGTTTCATGAGAACTTGAGGGCCCTATTTGGCTCCATATACGTCCAGTCATCCATCTTTGAACTTTGGTGTAGACACAACTTTTGTATGTCAAGAATTACATTTTAAGGTGCACATGTTTGAATAAATCCACTTTTTGTTTCCTTTCAGGTACTCTGCAAGCTCTGAGAGCCATGCAAGAACTGGGTGTTGCATCAGACATGGATACTTTTAGTATCTATATCCTGCCGTCCTTCCCATCAGTGGACAGTGCCCGCACTTCTCTTAAGGTAATTGCTCTGGATATGTGTGTTTTCTTGTTATTTTATGTGACTGTTCTGAAGCACTTTGGGTTGATAACTTGGTTTGATAATTGCAGGAGGCAGGTATTGACGTGGACGCCAATATTTTGATTGCGGCAGAATTACGAGCCGAAGCGTCACGTGGAAACCTTGCAGGGCTGTTCTCTCTAAGTAAGCATTTGCTTTCATGAAAATTGACCTCATTTCCTTTCTCTCAACCACTCTCTGCCTGTCGTTCTCATGTCTGTATATTATATATTCTCATGTTCTCTCACAGACACAACTCTGGAGAGATGTACCCTTTAGATGTACCCTGTATGATAGTGCTCATCACTTGGAGACTAATTGCCGTCCATCAGGACTTCACATACATAGCCACTCAAACATGCACTCTACCAAGCAAGCTACATGCCCACTAGGCCTTTTAAGTGATTAGAGAGTGAAAAAAGTGTGTGTGTGTGTGTATATATATATATGTGTGTGTGTGTGTGTGTGTGTGTGTGTGTGTGTGTGTGTGTGTGTGTGTGTGTGTGTGTGTGTGTGTGT